ATTGAACCAAACTGACAAGAAGAACGCTTGCTTGTGGCTTAAACTTCAGCCCACATTCTGTAAAATTAGAAACGGTTTTTAGAGAAAGTTCCTGAAGAAGACTCTAAGAAAACGGCAGCTAGAGAAGCAACTTCAAACAATCAAAATACGCTTTGGAATCTTTTCCTGAGTTTTTAAAGCCAGAGTGAATCTTACAGAATTTGCTTATTGCTGATGAGTCGAAATGCGCGCGGCAATTAATTCTACCTTTCAATTTTATTTATTTTTTCTTTTTGCCGACAGGTTGGAATACTAAACAATGGTACTGTGTTTTCACTTGATATTAATTAGCATAAATAGGCAAACACTAAAGCCTCTAGAACACAATAGATGCCGAAAAATCGTGTCAGTTAAAATATTGCAAAAGTCTGGTATCGTCAGCTAAACGAGAGACTACAGAAGCGAATCAATTGGGAGTATTTAGAGAATATTTTTGTTTTCGGACTTACTCTACGAATCGCCTACCAGCTATGTACCTCCCCTATAATGTAAATAGGTTATTTTCCCTCAGGTTGATATCGTACTGGTACCACTGAAAGCGGAAATCGAATTAGTTATTTCCCAGAAGAAATATTAATCATGTGGAGACGAACTTAATTTTTTTTTTCGTGCAAAGCACATATTGGCTTTATGTGCTTAAATAAAACTCCAGCAAAATGTTCGTGACACAAGAAAAACAGTCCCTAAATGAAAGTTCAGCGAAATTTCGCGATAAAAAGCGTCGGTTTACTGCCCAGTGCTCTAATTTTACTCTGGTTAAACGCAATTGCTTGCCATGCGATTTACGCGATCTATCATTTATGTAACGTTCACGAAATACACGACAGTTCCTCAGCTGGAGTTAAGTCACGAATACAAACGACGAGAGATATTCGCTTAACTTACCAAGAATGAAGACTTAAAAAAAAGACAAAACATAAACCTGTTCTGATAAATGTCATCAGATGCTGCTATAATAGTAAATTTTCCGCATCGCTTTTGACTTCGAACAGTACACGTTTTTTGCCGATATGGTAACCGAATGTTTCTCTAGTTTTCGCAGATTACATTCACACATGAACAAATTTGAATTCCGTCATTAACGCGGGAAGTTTGGATAGTGCGAAAGAAGATTCGAAAACCACTTTGCAAGGAAGAGAGTCCAGTCTTTCTTCTTTCGCGATATTCGCACCATGGACGACTAACGAGAATTCCACGTTTTGCCAGCTTCTTTCGAATCTTCGCGCTCGTCGTCTCGTCATTCCTACGCATTTGTTGGAATATGAAAGCTCTTGCTTCCATCGAAAACTTTTTCGGTCTCCCCGAGCAAAATTTGAGTAAATTTGCTAGGGAGCTAGTAAGACGCAGACATTTGATATTATTGGTATAATAACTACCAGAGTGTTACGAGATCAGTGAATGAATGAGAGAATTGTATACGAAGCATTGGTATGCCATGTGTTGCCTGCGGTCGCGAACAGTTCACGTCACGCTTCCTCGCGCGGAGTCTCGCTTAGAAATTGGGAATTTCTATGTTGTTATATGAAAAGATTAATCATAAGAAATGGCGCCCAGTTCAAGTTCCACTTGCCTGGATGTGTGTGCGCGGTCGTTTGTACTAAGACTCGAACACCTGGCTGTTCGGATCACACCAACAATCAAACATTCGTTGAAGTTTCAACAGGAAGGAGTGATAGAATAGTTACTTAAGTGGATGAGACTGATTTCGAATTTTTCTGCAATGCATTACAACAATACATGGACTACACTTCGCTGTAATAAGTAGAGCGAATTTTCTCTCGAAATTTCACACCGAACTTTGACTGTATCTATTTGACTTTATCTTATTCCCAACAACAGAGCGGGAAGTCTGTCCACGCTTATGGCCATAAACGTGAACAAAGACACTGAACATAATGCATAGCTTGATATGTAGACTGTGTCCCTTGCGTATCAAAAAAGACTCCAGTGTTCGTGAACCAACGACATCCAATAGGTAATAGCGAGAGGCTGCCTAACAAGACCAACCAACAGATTAGTTGTTGCCAAACAACGATACAAGAGTTTGGAGGGTGGATGATGGGAATATTCCTTGTTTAGGGCCACAAGGATTAGAAAATTCCCAAGAAATGCTGTGATGGAGAGGAAAATGTTAACTGCTGAGAAAGAAATCGATTCTTGTTGTAACCCAACTAACAAGGATGGGGAACATGGCAATACTTCATATGTTTCCGTCTGTGTTCCTCCCTCTGTTTAATTTGTCGTCACAATCATCGTGCAGCTCTTAAAACGGTTTTTCTCTTTTCGCTACTGTTCAGTTTGGAACTGCTGGCAACACGGAATAATTTTTCTTCACAGTAACTACCTGGCCAAGAAACAAATAAATATTGTTTCTCTTTATATCATCGACACTTAAAACTTCCTCAATATATCCTACTCGTTTTAAATTGTTTGAACGAACTCTCCGTCGAGACTACTGCATAACAATACATATATATACTTTTCTTGAAATTTAGAGGGTATGCAGGGTATGCCTTGTATCAATCAACCTCATATAAGGTGTCCATTTGGCTGATAAAAATTTTATGGATGAAGACATTTGTTAGTTTATGATTTTTTTTAATGTTTCTGTTAAAAGAACAAATAACAAGTGGCCCGGAACGGTATACCTAAATTGATTTTGAGGATATTTGTCGATCCGCAAAATGACATTCCCGCTGAAAAATCGCGTTTAATAAAACATTGCAAAAGTTTGTTATCTTCAGCCAAATGAGAAACTACAAAAGGGAATCAATTGCAAGTATACAGAGCACGTTCTTTGTTTTCGGACTTACTCGAAACATCTATCGACTACTCGCCTACCAGCTGTTTACTTCCTCTTTGTAAAACTATAGAGAAGATGGAAAAAGGAAATAATAAAAAGTCAAATTATTTGCTTCCTTCCTTCCTTCCTTTCTGTCCTTTCAGTAGAACATCCGCCCTCAGGCTGATGTTTTACTTATGAAACTGTCAGTCATGTAGAGGCGGACATGATTATTTCCTCAATGCACAAATTGTCTCAATCCGCAAAAATAAGACTCATAAATTCTTTATGGCACACGAAAAACAGTCTTGTAAAGTAAATTGAAAACAGTCATAATACCGAACACATTTAACTGACAACTGAAAATCGATCTATGGCCGTAGATTTCAGGAAATTTGAGAAAAATGTTTGACGTTTAGTTTCGTTATCTAAAAATGTCCGGCAGTTATTATTAAAAGGAACCTTGCAAAATGTTACTTAACTAAACCATCAGACCCTTAGAAAGCCATTTCAATATTTATTCATTATTCCATCCTCCTTAATTTCTCTCAGTCTCATTCGAGCGGCAGCTGGTTGCAATCTTTAATTCTTCCGTTGCATTGTTTTGTTTTCGAAATTGAAAGTTACTCGAGCGTGAACGCTGAGAAGCCAAATTTGATCGATTTATGGTTACGAATTGCTAAAATGGATCGACCACTTTGATTCATTACAGTAAAATACTGGATAGCAGAAATGCCTATTGAAATGTCAAAATATTGGAATATTCAAGAAATTATAACTTTCTTTTTTTTGAAATGTGCATTTTTCTGTTTTTTGAGTCACTCAGAGAAAAATGGTATTGGGCTTTTGAATTATCCGCAATCAAGAACCATTCATTGCAGTCACATTTATTTGGAATGAAATTTAATTCGAAATTCAAATTTAATTTTGAAAGTCACGATCTTGCTTCTTTTGCAAACATATCAGTAACACGAGAAATTATCCTATAATTAAATTCCGTATTTCTCTTTTTACTGCGATATAACATGGTGTGTACCGACCATTCGTTTTGAATTTTCCTTTTAATATGTTCAATATGTGTCAATATTATCTTCTTTTTCCTTTCCCTTAAAAGTTTCCTTCGGAAAAACGATCTATCATCAAAAGAAAGTCATCTCAGAAACCGCGACGGCCAATTTCCCACGTTTTCTAGACTACATAAACAATAGAACTCTTTTCTTTAGTCTCCTCGTTGTACTCTGTTAGCTACGACTGACCTCTCCTCAGTTCCGTACTGGAAACCATATGATTCCCTAAAGTCTTCCTCAGATTCTACAAGATTCTCCTCGTTCTTAGAATAAATTTTAGGATTTAACGCATCTGGAATCGGAGAGACATTTGTTCCCGCAAAGCATAAATGATCTCCAATTGCATGACTTAAACTTCCACCGCAATCTTTGCATATTACGCGGAAATACCTCTCAGATAAAAGTCGTAACCGTTAAAATCTTTGAACATATAAAATTATTCAAAATTATTCCGTGGACTTAGATTCCTAACAATTTCAAACAGTGTCTCATTGATGTCTCGTTATTGAAACATCTACAAGCTATTTGATCTTCCTTTCGTCTCTCACAAGGACGCGATGGAACTATAATAGGTCAAAAATATAAAGTCACTAAACCAACAAACCGTCCATCCATTTTTCATCTTTATTAACTTTCCTAACTTCTACGATATCTCTTTTAAGGCTGAGATATATTTCTTTCTTAAAGAGTTCATTTCGTTCAATTTTGATAACTTGTCCTCTTATAATCTGGAGCAGTTTAGTCCACCATAGCGTCTTGTTATTATATGGCCCACCAGATCAATTAAAAAAAAAATGGAATGAACAGAAGACAGCTTCAGGATTTGGCAAGAAACTGAGCAGCGAGCTTACAGATGCCCTGCCATACAGTATATCGGAGAAAAGTAAAACAGATTGCACCTCTCGGCATCTGGGTGATATTACTTTTGCTTTTCAATATTTTTGTGTGCCAACGAGGTTAGAATATTTAATGGTACTTTGTTTTGATTTGATACTTATTAGCACGAATTGACAAACACCAAGGCATCTAGAACACAATAAGTGCTGAAAATGGTGTTTGTTTCATTCTATCTTCTTTTTTCTTTCCCTTCAAATTACGCCTGATTAATGCATCTAAGTCCATAGAAAGCAAAGTGCTTGTCGGATTGTCTGCTTTACTGCTTGTCTCACTTCTTTGATTTTCCAACAGTAAAGAAACGGGTTCAAAGTGGAGTTAAAATATGTTAAAATATTTGCTATTGCAGTTATAACGACTACATGAGAAGAATAAGTTTTTGCATGAGAGATCACAATCAAGATTATAAATTTTGGTACATAACAAACAACTAATGCTAACTGCACCCACAGTGCACTGTTTACTGCCTTCCTGTATCGCGCCATGTTCATTGCATTTGGTTGGCTCGGCTGTTGTTGAACATGATCTTGTACATGAGTCTGATGATGTCTAAGAGTGCCAAATATTTTTGTGTACGAGGCGATTGAGATCACTGAGCATGACGGTATGACTATAATATAACACGAAATGGCTATTCGATTATGCAAAATGGAAAATAACCCAGCGGCGACGGATAAAATCCAAAAAGAAGCTGTAATGATACCTGTTCGCTTTAACGTTACTATTTGTCTGTATCTTATTCCCAACAACAGAGCGAGAAGTCTGTCCACGCTTATGGCCGTCAACGTCAACAAAGACACTGAACATAATACAAAGCCCGATTTGAAGGCTGCGCCCCTTGCGTATTGACAAAAACTCCAATGTTCGTGAACCAAGGACATCCAATGAGTAGCAGCGAGAGGCTGGGTAACAAGACCAACCAACAAATCAGTTGTTGCCAGACTACGATACAAGAGTTTGGACGGTGGATGAAGGGACGATTCCTTGTTAAGGGCAACGAGGATTAGAAAATTCCCAAGAAATGCTGTGATGGAGAGGAAAATGTTAATTGCTGAGAAATAAATCGATTGTTGTTGAAACCCAACTGCTAAGGAGGGGGAACATAGCCATACTTTAAATCCTTCTATTCCACCCACTGTTGAGTTTGTCGTTGTAATCATTGTGCAGCTCTTAAAACGGTTTTTCTCCTTTCGCTACTGTTTTTCGGAACTGCTGGCAACACGGGATAATACTTGTTCACAGCAACCACTTGGCAAAGAATTAGTGAAATATTATCATTCTTTGTATCATCAACACTAAAAGCTTCTTTCATGTATCCTAATTGTTTTAAATTGGTTGGAAAAACTGTCTGTCGAGACTATTACATATTTATACATATACACCTGTCTTGAAATTTGGAGGGTATGCCTTGCATAAATCAACCCCATAAAAGGTGTCCCTCTGGCTGATAAATTTCCTTCAAGAAAGCATACTGAATAAGAGCTGATAAAAATTGTAGGGATAAAGACATCTGTTAGTTTATTACTTTTTTTAAAAAACCTTTCTGTAGATAAAAAATAGGAATTGGTCAGAAACGGTAAACCTAAATTGATTTTGATGATATTTGTCGATCCGCAAAATTACGTTCCCGCTGTAAAATAGCGTTCAATAAAACATTGAAAATGATGTGATCTTCAGCCAAATGAGAAACTACAAAAGCGAATCAATTGCAAGTATCCAGAGTACATTCTTTGTTTTTGGATTTACTTGAAACACGTTCTACGAATCACCGACCAGCTGTGTATCTCCTCTTTGTAAAAATATCGAGAAGTTGGAATATTGAAAAACAAAAACAAAACGAAGAAGGAAATGATAAAAATTCAAACTATTTATTCATTATTAAATTATAACAGTCTTGAAATAAATTGTTATAGAACAGTTATAAAGGATTCAAAGTGGAGTTAAAATACATTAATATAATTGTAATTCCATCAATAACGACTTCATATGAAGAATAAGTTTTCCTATAAGTGATCACAACCAGCATTGTAAATTTTTGTACATAACAAACAACTAATGTTTACTGCACCCACAGTGCACTGCTCACCGCCTTTCTATATCTCGCCATGTTCAGAGCAGTTGTTTAGCTCGGCTGTTGTTGAAAATGATCTTTTACTTGAGCCTGATGATGTCTAAAAGTGCGAAATATCTTTGTGTACGCGGTGATTGAGATCACTGAGCATGACTTGTCTTACTGCTCTGATCTTCCAGCAGTAAAGAAACGGATTCAACGTGGAAGTTAAATACAGCACAGCTGCCGTTATTCCGAAAATGACGACCATATGTGAAGAGTTTTCTTTTACTATGAGTGATTTCAAGGAACATTAAACGTGGTACATAGCAAACAACTAATGCTACGTGTACCCACAGGGCAATAATCACTGCCTCTTTGTATCGCGCAATGTTAAGTGCACTAGGTTGGCTCGGTTGATGTTGAAAATGATCTTTTATTTGAGCCTGATGAGGAGACTCTTACACTAATAAAATGCTTAAAACGCTTTTTTAAAAATAATTTCTTTTAATCGAGTTTTCGTCTTACTTTCTTAATCTTAAAATAACTTCACGGGACACAGTAGTCCTACATGTTATCGAGGGTTCCTCAGCTGCTAGAAATCTGGACACTAGTAAGACGAAACATCTATTTTTATCTCAGGTTGTCAGCGGTATATATAAAAAGCGAGCACACGTGGATGTTCTTCAGTCATCGAAATCAAACACAACATGCCGGTCGATAAGATAATCCCCGAAACGGGTCAAAAATGGCCAGAAAATGTTGGTATTATTGCGATGGAGGTTTACTTTCCTTTTACATGTGTCAACCAGGAAAAATTGGAAGAGTTTGATGGCGTTAGTAAAGGGAAATATACGATCGGTTTGGGGCAACGAAACATGGGTTTCTGCGGAGACCGCGAAGACATCAACTCGATGTCGCTTACGGTTGTTCACAAACTGATGGAGAGAAACTCAATCGATCCAAATGATATCGGCCGGCTTGAAGTTGGAACAGAGACGTTGATTGACAAATCGAAATCTGTGAAAAGCTTTCTGATGCAGCTGTTTGAGGAGAGTGGTAACACAAACATTGAAGGGATCGATACGACAAACGCTTGTTATGGTGGTACACAAGCGCTCTTTAATTCAATTGCGTGGATAGAAAGCAGTGCGTGGGATGGTAAGTTTTAAATTTATTGAACACTGAAAATTAAAGGAAAGAATGTTGTTTGCTTGAGCTTTAGACTTTTATTAAGTACAAAGGTCGATCATTTCATTCCGAGTTGTCAGGTTTCAACTTGCAGTCCTTGCAGATTCAAAGTTCTCAAACTAAAGCCCAGAGCTTTTTTTTACAATGTCACATTATGGCTTCATTAGAAAGCGAAGAGACTGTCTCGCTTAGAAAATGTAACTAAACAAAGCAATTAAAATAATGAAAGCCTCGGGAAAGCCTTTTTTTATCGACGCTAGTTGGGACGTAGATGAAACTTCTGAGTAAAACTAATGTTCGTACGATAAGTGCTGTCATAAGCACTTTCAAGTGTGCCATCGTGATTGAATTAATGACCCAACAAAGACTTCCGCTGATTATTTTAGCTTCATCTTTTGACCCAACATGCCCCGGCAAACACATACGGATATCCGCTGATATTTTCTGAATATTATTCCCCAATGTTGAAACATGATAATTCAATTATTTTTCAGACTTCTCAGGTACAGTGTTGTCAAGTTTATGTAGACCATTCAGTGTTGCTAATCACGATTTCTTGGTTCATTCTAGTAGAAAATGAAATGAATATGTATTTCTTAGTACATTAATATCTATGTAAATATGTATGCTTATAATCAATTGGATATTTTTGCTGATGTGTAACTGCTTTTAAATGTGTCATTTGGCTGAACAGTCAAGAAAAAGCCATGTGGCTTTTGCACTCACTCGGCTACGTTGCAAAAACTATAAGAAAACATCTATATATATATATATATATATCTTTATTAATTGTGAGTGTCTTGTTTTGATTTTAAAACTAAAGGAAGTTTTTATCATAGAATCTTTTTGTGATCATCCCTTTCCTGCCTGTCTACCATGTCTTATCTAGCTTGACACAAAAGTTTTGAGATTTTCAACACGTAGCGTTCATATGTCAAAATACTTATTGATGGAGTTTGATCCGGCCAGATGGTAAAGTACTTGGCTCTCAGTCATAATGCACAGACTTTTCAATCCTAAAGTCATGATTTTGAACCAAAAATGTTCTAGCCCAGCCTTCCCAATCATTCTCTAAGTCTCTACTGGTCGTATTTTTCATGTCTTTTTCTTTTTGTAAAATTTCATGTAATAATCTACTCTTTTTTTAATGTAATGAAGTGGAGGAAATGATAAAAAAAAATCAAAAACAAAACAAAACAAAAAAAAACATTGTCTATGTGGCACAAAAAATATGCCTGTGTACTTATCTTTGGACAGTATCTGTTTCTTAAAGTGATAAGTTTTGGTTTCAAGAGTTTTGCTCTCAGGACAGATAAGCCCACATACAAATATTCTGTCATATTTCTTTACAAAATGGTGTCTATCATTTATTAACAGTGTACTTTTGAAATGTTCATCACTACTGTAAAGTTGCACACACATGTGGGGCTGAAGTAGGCCATGTAATTTTTTACTCTCCCACACAAGCCTGACTCCTTCTTTTGGTTTGATGAACAGGTCGACTAGCTATTGTTGTTGCCGCTGACATTGCTGTATATGCAGCTGGCAATGCACGTAGCACTGGTGGAGCAGGAGCAGTTGCTATGCTGGTTGGACCAAATGCTCCTGTGGTTATGGAACGAGGTAATATAACTTTTAATCTTTTAACTCCTGTGAGTGACCAAGGCAGAATTTCTCCTTACTATATCTGTACAGTATCATGTAAACAAGTGATGAGAATAAAGAAAAATATCAATTATGGGCTTACTAATTGATCCTATACTGAATTCTCCAAACTGACATAGTGAGAATCATTTGTCAGACAGTAAGGAGAATTACTAATGAGATCTTGGGAGTTAAAGGGTTAACCCTGACATTATTGTAGGTTACATAATTGAACACCACTTAATCCTTTGAGCCCCTAAGTGTGACCAGAGTCTAATTTCTCCTCACAAGATTACCCCCCAAATGACACATTTAGGTCACAAGAATAAAGGAAATGATCACCAGCTAAAGAAGCTCTTGATTGTTAAACAAATTCTCCTTGCCAGCCCATTAGGAAATGTGTAGGAAGCAGTAGGGAGAATAGGCATATTGATGTTAGAGTGTAAAAGGTTAGGGGGATGCAGTGTCAGTAGCTGTTAATTTGCAAGAAACAGTGGGATCTAGAGAAATCCACCAAATGGAGGAGAGGAAAGTTGGTGAGAGAGCATTTTCTGTGATCTACTAATGCAAAGACCCACAACAACATGGAATCTATTTGCTAGCTATATGATAGAAAAGGCAAAATGTTGTTTATGGTGACTTCATCTATATGTTTGTCATCAAGGCATCGTAAGGAAGAACTGATCAAACTTCATGTGTTATTCAGCTTATCATTTGATGTCCAATATTGTAAGCTTTTGAATCAGCAGGTAGTTAATTCTAGAAATTTTTTACACTGAATATATTAAAAAGGATTTAGGGGTTTTATAAAGAATTGTTTTATCATACAGAAATAGAAAATTAAGGAAGACAAAGTGCTGCCCATTTTTCATGGGATTTATTGGAAGGGTCATGTGCCTCTGAGAATTGCATTGTACAGTGTGTACGCTAAGGGTTGATTTCAAGTATTTTCTGCGCAGATGTTCTGTTTATATCCGTATTTTAGGAATTTGACACTTTTTAGATATTAGAAACATATACTACTTTTTAATTCTTTTTTTCTTTATTTCATTACATAACCAACTAGGTTATTAATTAATTTGTGAAGGTGTCATTTGTGAAGATGTCATTTGTGAAGGTCCCACTGAAAATCGCCTCGGCAAGTTGAGGTTGCTCATTAGATATATGACGATCATAATGATAGTCAATATTATTATTATTATTATTATTATTATTATTGTTATTATTATCATTATTCTTATAAATTACTTATTTACCATTTCCTTCATTGCATTAGGATTGAGGTCAGTGCACATGCAGCATGCATATGATTTCTACAAGCCAAACATGTCCTCTGAGTATCCTGTTGTTGATGGCAAACTCTCAGTTCAATGCTACTTTAATGCACTGGACCAGTGTTATAAGAGATACAAAGAGAAAGGACAGCAGCTCTGTCAAAAGGCATCATTTACACTGGATGATATCGATTATGCTGTATTTCACACTCCTTTCTGTCGGATTGTTCAGAAATCACTGGCCCGGTTGATGCTTCAGGATTTTCTTTCTGACATTGGGTGTGAAAGTTCTGAGAGAGAAAAATATTCTGATTTAGCAAAATTTAGGTGAGTCGTATGTCACATGTTACTATCACACTCATGTAACCATAAACACCTGCTGCCAGTTGTATAGAGGGCGGATAACGCAATCCAAGTGATAAATCACCATCCAGCAGATAAGCAATAGCAAAACGTATAGCGTTATCCACCGGATAGAGATTTATCCAATGGATAGCGCTATCCGACCTTCGAACAACAGGGGCCAGAAGAAAAGAGCAAATTTTTAACCGAGTGTCGAAAATAATCCGCGATTGCATTGGCTTTTGCTTTAATTCTCTCTTTGATTGGTCCAGGAAACTCGCGCCGTTTTCTCAATCAATCAGATGCAAAGCTGACACCAAGTGCGAGCTGGTGCCAGCGTTTTCCCGCGCTCTAGGCAGTTTGCGTGTTTTAACTCTGAGCTCTCATTAGGGCTCTTCAGGGTTCTTTCCTTTTCATTTGATTGGCTGTTATCTCTTATTTTGGTTTGGTTTTACTACACTTAATCGAAAAGCGCGCTACTGAGAATAACTTCTTTCTTTATCTGAAGACCGCAGTCAGAGGTTAGCTTCTCTCTTATTCTCTTCTGTACATTCTGTTCAAGTAATGTATTGTTCAGTTTAACAATAAGCAGATATGCCTATCCAGCAGTTCATTGTAACGATCATCAAGGGCTCATTTGTCTCTCATTCCCTTTCATGCAGAGATGTCAAATTGGAAGAAACGTTTCAAGACGAGGGTAAAGCCAAGGAAATCGAGAAAGCGTCAATGAAATGTAGTAAAGATGTTTACGACAAAAAGACAGCGCCATCTTTGTGTATTTCTCGTAACGTTGGAAATATGTACACACCTTCACTTTATGGTTGTTTAGCTTCCCTCCTGTTCAGGTAATGGCCAGCGTCGAGTCATGAAAACTAGGAAACATATTCAATATTGTGTTATGGTGATTTGACAAGAAACTAGATCGATATCTACATTCAAGAACATAAAAAGCGCTGCACAGGCCACTTGTCATGTGATCACAAACGACCAGTGCAAGGCTACAAGCAACTCCTTGACGGCGATATCCGTCGCGCTAAAAAAAAAATCAATGAAAAAAAAAGCGAAAAATGATGTTAGCGCGCCGCGCAGAACTTTGGCAGAGATAAGGACGTACTGCGCGGCGCGCTGACATATTTTTTTCCGATTATTTTAATTATTATTATTATTGTTATTATCGTGATTATTGTTATGTTATTATTATTATTTTATTTGCGCGACAGACTTCGCCAGGAAGGAGGAACTGCTTATATTCTAGATTAACTTGCTACGTTAACTTTTCCGTCTGTCTGTCAGTCTGCATGTCTGTCTCTGTAAGTGCGTGTGTTTCTTCGTAGAACTGTTTGGCTTTTTGTTGGTAAGTTATTCCGTCTAGCTGTTATTTTGTCTGTCTGTGCGTCTGCCTGCCTGCTTTTCTGTCTCTGTCCAGTCTCTGCTCGTCCAGAACTCAAAGAAATGACACCATAATAATTCTTGATAGAAGATCTGTAAGAGATTTAACACCTGATCCTACCCGCTTTAACTTACAGTTTTTATGAAACATTTTTCCATTTTTGACGGATGACAGTTTGTGTGAATTTCTACTTTCCTGTTTATATTTACAGATTAAACAGCGATCACTTTGTACCCGAGCAAATTCGTTTTGAGAGATTTCTCTTGTTATCTCCTTTTGTTTTTATTTTTTTAGCGAATCGCTCGATGAATTGGCCGGCAAACGAGTGATGTTGTTTTCCTATGGCTCTGGACTCGCTTCAGCCATGTTTTCGTTTCGAATCTCAGACGATTTTGGACCCAGTTCCCCACTGAACACACTGGTGACGTCACTGAAGGATATCCCAGCACGCTTGGCGTCCCGGAAAGAAGTGGAACCCGCCGAGTTTCTGGAAACTCTCAAAATACGCGAACATACTCATAACAATAGCAGTTACACGCCGATCGGCTCTGAGGAAGATTTATTTCCAGGGACTTATTATTTGACGTATGTGGATGACAAGTTTCGACGAACCTACCAGCGAAAAAAAAATTCCTCAAATGAGGGAAGCTGTATGGTTGTTTAAAGGGGATTTGTGCTTTGGAGTCCAGATGATTTTAATCACTTTTAGTATCTATAAAATTGTGACACTTACGGTGTTTTGAGATTCCAAAGAGTAACCCTCTTTTTTTTCGAAAGTTGTCTTCAAATTAGGGAAAACTTCGAGCGGCACTTTGAATCGTGCTCAGCAGCCCGGCCACTTTCTTGTGACGTAATCTAGTCTGCTGTAGACTCCCGAATTTGATTTATTATTATTATTATTATAATTATTATTATTACTTTGCAATAATTAGAAGAGTAACTATTTGTGAACCTAGCGCTGCGATTTACTAATTTTTTTTCCAATTTGCACGCCATAATCGAATTATAAGCACATCCAAAACAATTTTGGATCTTTACAGTCTCTGTTTGAAATCTCGGAACGCCGCAAGGATTTGATTCTATATACATATTTTAAAGTGGCGGAGTTAAAAATGATGGTTTGTGGAACACAATTCCATTAACCAGAGCAGATTTTAGGTATACGTGCTTCATGCAAGTAATTTTGAAAAGTTTGTTACATAATATGAAACCAGAGGATGTCTCGAAACTTATTTTTTTAGGTCCTCGTTGTTAACGCTCGTGCAAGTGAATGGGGAATGTTTCTCTCCTAAATTTTATTTATAACGCTGATCTCGATGATGTGTTTTTTATGTGAAATTGTTCGTCGAAATACAGCGTTACGATTTACCTTCTCCGTGTGGAGGTCACTGCAAGCAGTAATTGCTTTGAAATTAACAGTTTAAGTGTTATTTGGCGTTAATTAGCCTTTTTTTTCTTTCAATTGATGTAATGAAAAGAGTGAATTGCCGCTAAAACGGTTACCAACGTCATAATCATAGGGGAAATACTTCATTAGACTTCTAACCGCGAAGTCACTAATTAAATTAGGGACAATTTATTCAAAAATGACAAACTCGAAGAGATATTTTGCTGAGTTGTTGCAATTTGTGAAGGGTGTAATTGTGGATGGCTCGAATCTTCTTACCCACTTGAAATTTAATGGTAACAGTTAAAGTAAACGTAGTAAAAAAGTGTAGTATAACTTTGAATAACCCCCCTTCCCGCTCAACAATGAAAATATGAAGTGAATGTCTTTTTTTTCTTTTAAATTAAAAATGTTGATATTTTGAGTTAAATTTACCGGCCATTAATTAGTTAGCTGCGATCTGATTAATTAGAGAGGAATCTTACAATTAGTGCAAAGCCTATCTAAGTGACATTCCTTTTAGCTAATTGTACAGAATTAAAATTGAGTTGCAAATCATTTGGATTTCATTTTGGGACATAGTGAGGAAGTTTCTATCATAATTTTCACAATGAGCGAAAGAAACGACAGCAATGTCGTCCGTACGACGAACACAGCGCCGACTTGTGATCAGTTTTCACATTTCTATCACTTTAATTCCGAAACTTCACGAAGCGTTGCCAAGGAACAGACCGAACCACATGATCGCCAGGAGGAGTTACAGCAATTTACCGAGGATCAAACGGAAAAGACGAAACAGAAGAAGCAAGCTGGAATACTCACTTGGCTGCGAAAACGTGTTTCGTTGAACTCCGAGTCTGAGGTACGAACGTGGTTGACAGCACCCATGGGCACTGCTCACAACAGAACTTCGAAGGAAGTAAAGGACAACGTTATAATCACACAAGTGAAGAGAATGCCCACGTACCGTTGCGTCTCTCTGCCTCCGGGCTGCATTCCAACAGAAGTTTTACTTGTCGCGGAAGGAACAAGTCACGTCGAATTGGATCCGAGGTCAGAAAGCGTCTCTGACTCCAAAAGCACCAGAAACGGGAGAGGAGACATTCAACAGCGTGCCATCGTCGTCTCAAAGGATCAGAGGAACGAAGAGTTTTTGCCATTTAAGGTTTTGAGAAATAACTGGGTCAGTCCAAATTAATGAACTGGAGGCGAGTGAGGGTATTTCTTCAAACTGGGGATACAAAACCTGTATTCCTTTTTCTTGTTAATCATATCATTAAAGAAAGAAATAAGCATGTTGGTGAATTTTCCATAGCTCTAGATCTCTAATCAGTTCACCGCTGTCAACATTTACTTTGTTCCCATACATTTATTTAATGCAAAGTCAGAAAACCTCCAATTTTTTTTCACAGCAAAATTAAAATCGCAGATATAGGACTACAAAATCCGTTGGTTAAAAAAAAACAAAACACAACACAACAACAACGAGTAACACAGGTTCAAAAAATGAAAACAGCGAACAAAGTTCAAAAAGCGAAACAAACAAGCCGAGTAGTTGTGTGGGGAGTAGGGGGGGAGATCACTTTGCCAGAAAGAAAATTCCTATCGTATAGGGATGCTTCAACCTTACACTAAGTCTGACAAAGCATAGGACAAACCTTTCCTCATACTACTGGAACGGCGTTTTGGTTTACAATTTATGATTAATCTTTTATTCAGATATCCTTGACTTAAATAGCTTTCTCGTTTTTAAATATCTATTTACAATATACAGCCATCATAATATTTCAAAAACTAAACAATGAACACTCCCCTTTCACCTTAGATTTTGGAATAAGACATTTCTTTAGCATTGAATTTGTACACCGCACACATTTATACCATTTAACTTTCTTTAAACATTTTTACAAAAATCATTTCATAATGAGTCAAGCTAATCTTATGATTAAGAACTCGTTAAATGTAAATAATTCTTAAAGAAAATTTCTTCAATATGTATGAGCTGAGAGTAATATCAACCGCAGTAATATTAGTAATAATATTAATAATCATAATGATAACAACAACAATAATTATCATTATTATTATAATAAAATCAATAAGTAGAGTGGTCCGGCCTAGATGCATACGAATGGTCTTGAGTATTTCCTGCAACGGAACGATCCGAAAATTCATTTAATGGTCGTTACAAGTCGCCCCGAGCGCTTCTTGCGGCTTGTTGTCTGATATGGGCGTATGAGCATTGATATTCTCCGAGATGGCGTTCTTTAACCTGTTTAAGAATCCTTCTCTTTGGCCTTCGGATGAAACACTTAAACGGACGCGCAATGAGTCCAAAAGCTTGTCTAAGAGGTCCAAGTTTGCAGATGCACCAAATCGTCTGCTGAATTGAACACGGCTGAAAATGAGATAAGTGATGACAGAAGTCAGTCAAGAGCATTTTGTAAATGCAATTCAAAACCTAGGTTATCACGACCGGTCAATCACAACAAAAGAAAACATCACAAGAAGCCGATGATAACTCAGATGAACCACAAGCAAACTCCTCGAAGCGCGGGAAATCGCGGGTGACCAAGTTGAGATTGATTTGAGTTCGCATCTGATTGGTTGCGAGAGTGGCGCGAGTTTTCTGAACCAATCAAATAGCGAAGGAAAGCAAAACCATTGCAATCCCAACACAATTGAAACTCGCTCAATCTAATGAAAATTTTCTACAAAATAGTTATATTGCAGACAAAGTGTTCTCCTATAAAATCATCGGAAAGTTTCATACAATAGGACGTTGTTTCAGCTCGTAAAGTGCAGTTAGAAAAAGAAAAAAACTCTCACAATGGATATCTCCTGTAGTCGTCTGCGATGTTCCTCACTTGTTCGACCGTATCATCTTCATCAGCCTCGTTTCTGAACACCTCGTAATCAAACTGATACGGCAACCTATACTGGCCAGCCGACTCCCACTCGTCACTGATTGTCAAGCATCTTATTTGTGATTGGTTAGACAGATTACTGTAATTGTACGGGCTGACAATTATTCCAATGAAGGGTGCTCCGCCCTTTCCAAACCATTCCTGTTCACAGAAAGAATAAATTTTAAAAATATGAAGATATCAGGTTGTCTACTAAGAAATAAACTGGCCCCAGTTGTTCAAAGGTTGAAGAACACTATTAACTAGACAAATCTCAATTCGGTGGATAGCGCAGCACGTTTTGCCATCACGTATCCGCTGGATAGCGATCTATCCGTTGGATAGCGTTATCCGTCCTTAATACAACTGGGCCCTGGCCTTTTGGCTGGGTGGTCCGGGATCGAGCCAATTTTATGGTCATGGGGATGGGATGTTAGGGGAAAGGGGGGGATGCGTTAATGTCGTTTCATAACATCGTTTAACCCTAGTCTGCCGGTTTCGAAAAGAGAAGTAGTTTTCCAAGGTGAGTGTGCGAAAGGTATCTCATTAAGCAATGTCAGCTCTTTGAAAGGGGTACCTCTTACAAACTATTTTAAAAAGAATAGGTACGGAGATGGACCACGAATACCCCTGTCCCGCCTTCCCTATAGGTAGACATATAGCAAGGACAAAAAGAGTGGAGCAAAAACAAGAGTGACGTTACTTTTTCTCCTAACCCGAAAAATTCCATTAAATTGAAATAATCCCCCCCCCACCCTACCTTACCCCATTTACGACATCAGGAGTTACCTGAAATTTTGCTTGAGTTTCTATGTCTCGCACGGAAGGAATGGGAGCGAACGTGGGATGAGAGTGGTACCAGCCCACCACAGCCAATCCTCGGAGCGCTAAGTCTTCAGAGGCCTGCGTTTGAGATACAGGGTCCATTTCACACTGAAGTCCTGTGCTTAAGCTACGACAAGGGATCGCCTTGGAAACCTACACAAGCAAAACAATGAATAAACGGTTGAGACTATTTTGGCAACAAACGCAATCGATCAGTGTTCAAGTTTGTAAGGAACATAACTGACAACTCGCCTTCAATACTCTCGAGTCATGTGAGTAATGTCCTCCAAGCAGACCTATCACCTCAGTGGTTGACATGTGCGCATGCGTGTCCATGACCACCAAGGTCTCTGATTGGATGTGAACATCAAAAGGCACAGCACAAGGCGAAGGAAACTTCCGGCAGGGAACGAGTAAGAACGGATCGTACGAGGGCTTGCTTCGGGAAGGTCTTTTCCTGGGGACTGACGGGGAGCCCTTTTCGTTCAAGGATCCATTGGGTGAAGCTTCTTTGTCAGGAGACAAGTGCTGGAAATTAAAGTTTTCAGATAAAAAAACAAGTGAAAAGTTTTAAGTTTAAAGAACACAAGAACACAACGCAAAGGCCTTCCCTGGTCTCTATCCCAGACCTTTTGGGCTCTATATTTGACCACCGCGTACCTGTATCGTCATCCCTTCAGCTTTACTTGGATCGATCCAGTCTCCCTCTTCATTCCTCTGTCGCTTTCTCCTCGGTCTGAGTGAATTTACCCAAGATTCCATATGAACGTTTACCTTTGCATCTGTAGCCTCGTCTTGCTGTCGGACGCGGGGAACTGGTCTATCCAAACAACCTTCGTTTATAGCCCCAATATCTTCTAAGAATGCGTGAACTCTTCCTATAGAGTTGACATCGCCGCAGTTTCGAAGCCCACTCCTCACGGCCGTTTTGAAAAGGAAATTCGGTTTAGTTTTTTCCCACATGTCGAGAATGTAGTTGCGGATTTTCATATATCGCTCTGGTGTCTTTAAAGCACGCCCCATGAAAAATTCCATATTGTGATCTTTCTCTAAGTCCTGTATAACATTTCTGTCGATAGTGATTGGTTTAAGTGAAGTCACGTCAGCCCCAGGCTGCTCCCGGTCTAACGAGTCTATCAGTTCAGAGCTAGTCACTTCACCACTTGTCGCTGCCTCCCAGTCTCTAGCAGATACATCACCTCCTTTTTCTCTTGCGACTGGCGCTCGAGAATTGTGGCCTGTATCTTTACTTTGAACACAATCGCTTTTCGAAATTATTTCTAAGCTCTTAGCGAGTCCGTCTGGAAAACACTGCTTCTCTAAAGATGATTCCTCTTCACATTCATTTGGCAAATGATTTCCATATTCCACACCATAACATAAACGATCATAGTTCTTCACCTCTTTAACTTCAGTTTCGTTTAAAGAAGCCATATCCAGGAATGATTTTGATAAAGATGAAGAAGTTCTATTTTCAGACAGCGTTTTTTTATCCAAATTCGGAGAACATCTGACATCGATAGCAGAGATGCCGGCCTCTGTTTTCGAAGAGTTCGGCGACATGCTTTCTGGAAGGATAGTGACAGGATTCTCTTCCAAACTAATCTGTTGGTTTTCTACTTCTGCAGCGTGAACCAGGGCCGAATAAACAGCCTCGGGACATGATGTCGTTTGACCTGCAGTAAAGCGAATTCATCGAAATAAAAAAAAGCTCGTTAACGTTTTAATAGCGCTATGTTTCACATATGTCGTTATGAGAAGAGTAAAGGAGGATTAAAACGAGGAAATATTTGGACGAGAAAATATAAGAACGATAAGAGATTAATA